TTAAGATATTAGGATTTAGTAAATCCCGTAAATCTAAATTTACTAAATTCTAAATGAGTTAAATCTGAAAATTTTTCAGACAATGAATTTACTGAATCCTGTAAAAAACTGTTTGGTAATTTCAGTAAAGATTTAAGAAGTCGTTATGATTGTTGAAGACGATCGTAAGCCTGCAAGGTTAAATCCCAAGCCCCATGAAATTAAATCCACCTTTCCGAGATTTAGGGGCTATTTGGGAGCCGCTTTTAGGCATGATTTATGCTAAATCCTGCCAAACTGTAGAATTTCATAAATCCTACAGGTTCTTAAACGGGTTTTGCCTTAAATCTAGGATTTATCAAATCCCGTTGGGGGTCAAGTTTATGGGATTCAAAGAAGTTGAAGAGAGATTTAATGAATCCTATTAAAAATGGCAAATAATTTTTTTGAATTTATTAAGATCTACTTATTAACATAATTTCCAGGATTTAACCTCTATAAGATTTCACAAATCTCAATTTTGAAGATTTACGCTCCCTTAAAATTTACTGGATTTACAGTCTTAAACAGTGTCATTCAAAGTTACGGCAAAATCGCTTAAATTCTTCGTCAATCCTGGGTTAAATCCGTTGCCGGACAGGTTGATGATACATATTTATATGAATTTAATGTGCAGAGGATTTATGAACTGGGAGCGCGGCGGGTTCTGGTGACCGGAACCGGTCCGCTGGGCTGTGTTCCGACGGAGCTTGCTCTGAGAAGCCGGAATGGAGAGTGCGACCCGGAGCTGCAGCGCGCCGGCGATCTCTTCAACACCCAGCTTCTACAGACCCTCAGAGACCTCAACACAAACATCGGCACAGATGTTTTTATAGCAGCCAATGCGTTTAAGATGCACATGGACTTCATCACCAACCCCGAATCCTACGGTGAGAACAAAGCTCCAATCTTTTTTCTAATAAAAGCCCTAAAAAATCAATCTTTGCAGTAGAGGAAGCAATCATGCTGAATTTGGGAGTTTTAATGGCAGGTTTTGAGACGGCGAAGGTGGCGTGTTGCGGGCAGGGGGCGTATAATGGAGTCGGACTGTGCACGATTGCGTCCAGCGTGTGCCCTAATCGGGATACGTATGCGTTCTGGGATCAATTTCACCCGAGTGAGAAAGCGAACAGGATTATTGTGAGCCAATTCGTGACTGGTTCGGTGGACTACATGAATCCCATGAATTTGAGCACCATCTTAGAGTTGGATGCGAGGACTTGAAGGAATATATACAGACAGCGTTTCCCATTGTGTTTTTTTTTTAGTTATTTTGGTTGTTTTTTAGGGTTTGGTTGGAGAAGATGAGGGTGAGATGGTGATTTAAAGTATAAATAAAGGGTTTTAATGGGTTATGAACTCTTCAAGGCAATGTTATTATTATTATTATTTCTATCTGAATTTGTTGTTTGGAACCGGGGAATTACATAATATAGATTACCCGAAATTTGATATTTACAAATCAATCACTCTTTTTCGTCTATTTTTCAAATT